TTAGTAATATTAATAATATATACAGTAATCTTAGACCTAGCGTTTTCAATAGCTACAGAATATGAAGGGAATGAGAAAATGGAGCAAAGAAATTGAATCAAAGCTCCTGGAAAGAACATGACTAGCTGACTAGAAATTTGACCAGGAGCAATTTCAGGGCTTGCTTGTATTTTTAAATTGTACTGTCAACTAAGACAAGAACAGTTCCTTCCCTTCAACATGTCAACTTTTTGCTCAAAATGGGGGAAAACAACAGCAACAACAATAAAGCATGCCAAATATATACATATTGATAGCAAGGCAAGCCAGTTTGATCTTTGAGGATTGGGTTGCTGAACTGAACACAAATATGTCATTATTTGAATAATAGCACTTTAATCTATATACTGCTTCACAGTGCTTTACAGAGTCAGCACATTGCCCCCAACAATCTGGGTCCTCATTTTACCCACCTCGGAAGGATGGAAGGCTGTGCCAACCTTCAGTCTGGTGGAATTCGATCTGCCATATTGCAGGCAGCCGGCAGGCAGCAGAAGGAGCCTGCAATGCTGCATTCTAACCACTGTGCCACCGCAGCTCAGTGGTTAGAATGCAGTATATTGCAGGCTAATAATAATAATAAAAAAAAAACATCACAAGGAGGACAATATCTTGGGCACAGAAGGACTTTTAGATAACAATAAAGAAGGTAGAAGGAAAGGGTCAAACGCTTGACAGTGCTGCTTCTTGTTTGACTTCTGTGTGTAAACCAGTTAGAGATGAGGTCAATTTACTAATCGCTTTTCAAAATTCAGCCTTTTCTCTTTATAGCCCTAGAGATAGCCTGGTTTCTGTCTGGATTTCAATTCTCCCCATAGCTCTTGCTAGATGGATTCTCATTCTTCTTTTCATCTTTTCCTCACATCTGGAGAGAGAAAGCACCAGTCACTTTCCTTTCCATGGTTGGCTCTTCTGGGACATGGAGTTTTTATGATTAGAGGTTTAGGTATCTCTCCCTCATCCTTGACATCTGTCAGTCTGGCACATCCAGGCATCCACTGGTGAGCCACTTAAATGAGATAACACCATAGTTTTATGATTCTCCCTCTTTGCTTGGGCTGGAATAAGGAAGTGACAGAACTCTTGTCAATTTCACCTGGACACGTATAAAACAAAAGAAGGAAAGGGAAGGTCCATCCTTTGTTTTGGTGGCTTTGTAAAACGTTCAAAGAAGCAACATCTTTTCACTGGTCTGCTGATGAAATGAAGAAGAAAAAAGTTAATTTAATTAATCAATTTAACTTAATAAAAGCCCCTCCCTGAGCAGACAGTACTGAAACCCAGGACCAAAATTGCTGTGGAAAGACAGTGGCCAGGAGGAATGAAGGGGTTCCTGCCCCAGTGCAGGGGGGGAGGTGTCAAATGGGCTAGAGACATTGCCAACAATGGTGTGAAGAGCATCAGGCAAACTGGGCAGTGTGGCTTGAATCAGCCCAAGTTAGAAAGCACCTCTTTGGGGACAGGGAGGGAAAAGGCAAGTGGAACTGGGGTGTAAAAATAGCAGGTCCTTGTGAGTTCATGATGATGATGATGATGGTGATGATGATAAAGAAGAAGAAAATGATGATGATTCAGTTGCATCCAACTATATGGGTAAGGTCTTGCCACGTCTTCCCATCTCACACTGCTTCTTTGGGTTATTTTATCTGGCCAGTGTCCACTTGGATCCACCCTTGAGAAATAGCTTAAAGGTACATATTTACACTGGGACAACATCGTTCTGTAGATCAACTCTACATTTTTTAAAATCAACTTGTCTCCGGTGCATCATCCTTTGATCCCTTTGTACACGATAGCAATTAATAGTAACGAGGGAAGTTTTATTAGCCTTTAGGCGAAGTCTTTGGGCTCACAAGGGCTCGTAACATTTCTCTTCCAATCCCTCAGAGACACATGGCCATATCCACCATTTACCTAAGAGCTTGGCAGATGAGCTAATCAATATGTCTACAATGAGACACAAGGCTGCTTTGTGTTCGGTTCTTTTTTTTTGGAGGGGGGGGATGTAAATAAAACCACCCCTCATCTCATCTTGGAAGCAAATAAGCCTCTTTTCTGTGTAAATGTGCACTGGAGCGAATTTTGCCTTGTTTTATCTTCATAAAACCATCCTGGCCCTGTCCTGGTGCTATATATAGCTTAGGGATGGAGAGACAAAAACCATGGAACCATCCTGCCCTGCAGGGCTTGTATCACGAAGGCAATGATGGCTAGATGGTTGTTACTGAAGGTCTCCGTGCAAAACAGGTTTCTGGTGCCGTCTTTCCTTCCCTACCACATCAAGGTTGTTGCAGATTTTTGCTGCTGTCACATCAATGGACTCTTCTCCACAGTTTTTTGCCAGCCAAGAATTCTCCTTGTCCCAAAAGCTGAGCTTTAGCCCTTTCTCCCTCTAGCCCTCAACCATGCCAGGTTCCCAAGGCCAGGTGGGAAATTTTTATCGATCCCTAATAACTCTGCATAGCTGAGTTCCTTTCCAGTCTCAGCATTTAGGCCAGAGGTCCCCAAACTTGGCAACTTTAGACTTGTGGACTTCAACTCCCAGAATTCTCCAGGGTTGGAGAATTCTGGGAATTGAAGTCCACCAATCTTAAAGTCGCCAAGTTTGGAGACTCCTGGTTTAGACTGCCTTTCTTCGTCCTCTAGTACTTGATTATTGATGCTACTTCACCTCCTGCTCAGACACGTCGATCCATCATTCTGCGTCTCTTTTTATTTCGCGTTTTATAGGACGGCGCCGTCCGTCCGCCACCCGCTGCCTGGCCAGAAGGTTCGAAGTGAGCATCCAAGGGGATTAATTAGGCAATCGATGCTCTCTTAATTCCTCCGGCGTTTGGAAGAACTTTCAAGAAAGGGCAACGGCGGACCTATGGCGCGCACTTCTTCCGGACGGTTAGATTTCCATTGCAGCGCCGAGAGTGGGTGGGGGGAAGAGAGAGAGAGAGAGAGAGAGAGAGAGAGAGACGGTATCTCGGCTTGCCCCCTAAAGTAGGCACAGAGAGGGCGACGCCTTCCTTCGCTCACAGCCCGCGATGTTGGGTCTTCCTCCTGCCTCCAGCCCAAGAGCCGGGCAGCTGAAGTCTCCCCCGGAGCCGCGCGGGACTATCCAAACCGTCCCCTTCTCCTTCCGACTCCAGCCCAGAGCAGGGCGCCCAGTCCGCGCGGCGCTTCGGTCCCGGTTGCTCCGCACAGAGAAAGAAAGAGAGAGAGATGCCCTCGCCAACCGGAGCGGGCGGAGTAGAGGCGGCTTTCCCCGCGGGCGGCGCTTTGTCAGGGACGGCACCTGAGTCGGTAGCGGCGGAGAAAAGGTGCCCAGCGCCTCGCCGGAGCCCCCGCGCCAGAAAAAAAAAGAAAGCTCGTCCTTCTCGTTTCCCTTTTTCGGGGGCGGGGGAGGGGCAGCTCTTTCCTTCGCTCCGAGTCTAGAGGAGCCGCCCGGCTGCAGGCGGAATCCCACGCCGAAAGACCAGCGGCTGCTGGCCCAGCCACCCGCCCCACTCCCCCTCTGCCCATGCAGCCCTCCACGTGCGCGCGGGCGCGCCTGCCCAAGCGCGGTCCCGGGCACGAGAGCCGCGCATTCCCCGGGCGGGCGGGCGACCGCGCGCTGCTTCTGCCCAGCCGCCGCAGGAGCGCCGAGCGGACTCCTGGGCTGGGAAGCGGCCCCCGGCCCAGCTCCGGATCTCTTCCTCCGGAGGGAGCGCGTGGCACCCGGTGGCTTCGGAGGCCGCAGTCACGCCACCCTCCTCCTCCTCCTCCTCCTCGGAGCCAAGTGGGTGGGAGGGGCCCCGCTTCCTTTGCCCTGTCTCTCCCTCCCCCCGCCTCCCCTTCCTCCGCGCGGCAGGAATCCACCGCCGCCTTCGCCAGTAGGGAAAGGCAGGGGAGGGAAAGCTGGGCAGGCCGGCCCTGGCACGGGCTTGGAATCCCGGGGCTGCGCGCGCGTGGGAAGGCGCGGGCGCGTGCCTGCCTCTCCTCCCCTTCGGAGCTGCCAGCGCGCCTGTGTGGTTTCTTTTTGGCTGGGATTTTTTTTAACCTGCCTCCCCCCCTCCCCTCCCCTCCCCTCCACCCCGCCGCCGCTTCGTGCTTGGTTTGTCAGGAGGCCAAACCCGCGTCCCCTTCGGCTTCGGCGAGGATGCCGGGGGCGGCCGGCTCTCCATCAGCCCCGGGGCTGGCGGCTGGACTTCCCCTGCAGGCTGCCGCCGCCTCCGGCTCGGTCTCGCCTTTCTGCCAGAGCTGCCCGAGGACCGGCGGCGGGGCTACCGACTAGCAAGAGCTCCGGTCGCTTCGGGAAAGGGGGGTAGCAGGGAGGCAGGAACGCGGGCAGGCGGGGACCGGAGCAGCGTCGCCCCGAAGCAGGAGCGGCTCCCCGAGAGGCGTTTCTCTTCCTCAGGGAAAGGGGCTCCGGATGGCTGCTGGTTGCGGATCTTGGTTTGGAAAGCAGGGGAGAAGCCCCTCCTCGGCCCGGATCGTTACCGCCTGAAAGCCGCGGCTTCCCGGCACCCGGCCAAGGACGACCAGGATCTGGGGGGCTTCGTCCGAGCCTTCTTCTAATTTGGCGGGCGGGCGGGCGGGCGGGCGGTGTGTGTGTGTGTGGGGGAGATCCGGAATCCAGGAGCCCGGGAGGGGGCGGGAAATCGCCGGGAAAAGGAGGCGAGCTCGGCGGCGGAAGGTGGGGAGAGCTGCTCGCGCGTTCCAGCTGATTCAGCAGCGGTCGTGTGAATGGTGTAGCTGAGAGGGCGGGCGGGGTGTCGCGCTCTCCGGATCGAAGGGAGGCGAGCCCTTTCGGGGACCTACCGGGCTGCGGCCGCCTCCCCCACCCCGCTGCCGTCGGGTCTTCCCGCTCCTCTCCTCCTTTTCCTCCCCCCGCCCCCCCTGCCCCGCTTCCCCGCCGCTCCGCATGCTGCGCCCTCCCCGCCCTCGATGCCGCTGCTTCCCCCCGGGGGAGGGCTAGAAAGGCGCCGAGGAGGATGAGCGAAGGGGTCGCCTCGCCGCCGGGTGCCGCAGCCGCTGCCGAGGAGGGGGCGGCGGCGGCGGCGGCGGGCGGGGGCCCTGCGGCGGGCGATGGAGGGCCCGAGGCGGAGGGCCGGGAGCTGCGCTGCGGCGAATGCCTGGTGTGGAACCGGCAGCAGACGTGGCTGTGTGTGGTGCCCCTCTTCATCGGCTTCGTGGGCCTGGGGCTCAGCCTGATGCTGCTCAAGTGGATCGTGGTGGGGTCCGTGCAGGAGTACCTGCCCACCGAGCTGATGGATTCTAAGGGGATCGAGCAGGACCCCTTCTTCCTCTCCAAGCAGCCCACCACGCCGCCCAAGGGCGGGGAGCCCGCCGCCTCGCCCGGCACGGACGCCGCCGCCGCCTCTCAGACGCCCAACCGGATGAGCACCCGCCTCACCACCATGACCAAGGCGCCCACCCGCTTCCCGGCCACCCGGGGCCCCATCCGGGCCATCCCGCCGCGGACCACCACGGCGCGCCACACGCTGGCGCCCCCGACGCTCCTGGCCGGCGGCAGCACCGGCAGCACCACGGCTGCCGTCGCTGTCCCTTTCAGCACCACGCTCCTCCTGGCCCGCCCGGCGCCCGGCGCCCCTCGGAGCCCGCCTGGGCCGGCCTGGCCCACTGCGGCGTACACTACCTCGTCGTACAAGACTTATCTTCAGGACTCGGCTCCTTCGTGGACCTTATCCCCCTTCCAAGAGGCCAGCAGCACCACCACCGCCGCCCCGCCGGAGACCAACTCCAGCCCCAAATACCGTAAGTCAGAGGGAAACTTTTGCCTCGGTTTCCTCCCTCCCTCTTCCTCCTCTTCTCCTTCTTCTTGGGTGGCTTCCTCTGTGGCTTTGCCTTGGCCGGGAAGGGCTCTCCCCAGGTGGACCTGGTTGCCAGCCTCGCTTGGGAGGTGGGAGGTAGGAGGGTTGGATTTCAAAGCCAGGAGGCTGAGGGGGTCTTTGGAAGTTCCTCTGGGGCTGGCCGTTTCGATGGCTGCGGTGGAGAGGGAGACCGTCCGAAGAGGGGTTCCTTCACAGGGTGAGACACAGACAGGGACTGCGCCCCCTTTTTTTCTGCGTTTGGTACAAGGGGGGGAAATGATCCCCAGACTGAAGCCAGAGGAGAGCTGTCAATGGGGTGGGTGCTTCTGATCTTGAGGGCTGAGCCTTGGACCGGTGGCTTAGGATGGGAGAATGTGGTGGCTTTAGGCAAGGAAGCCACTGGGTGACTTTGGAGAAGGACAGGGAGAAGTTAAGGGAAGAGGTGAAGAAGTGCCTTTGAATCAGAGTTGTGCTCAAGAACCTTGGACAAAGGGCATGCATGTTCTTAGCTTTCCCAAAAGCTTTCCTTCCTTCCTTCCTTCCTTCCTTCCTTCCTTCCTTCCTTCCTTC